CTCGAGGTAATAAGTTTTTGGTCACCCATCCAATGACTGATTTTTGAAAAAAGATAATTAACTTTCACGATCGCAGGCCGAACATACTACAGGTAGTAGGCGCCACAGGAGCTCCACAGGTAATTACAGGGTATTACTGGATTTTTTTTATTAAGTTCCTTAGTTAGATCATAACAATCGACTTTCAAATTGTATTGTGTCTGAAATGGTTCTTTATTTATTTTCCTAATTGAGAATTCATTTATTCGCCTCGAGACTGAATCCTTTGCCTTTTTATTTTTAAAGCCAGGTAAGCAAATGTCTCTACCCCGCGTGATATTAGGTGGTGATAAAGTCCAAACGCGAAGATAGCTGGTACAGCAGTTATAAACTGCCACACCAACCATCCTCACCTTGCCGGCCTGCAAAAATGCGCCTTCACGCCTCTCTTAAAGTACCCCAGATTGTAGGAAGGAGCGAACACTTGCGCTGGCAAAGAATTCACTTCCGTATAGCATGACAAAGAAATGAGTCACCAAATTTCTTTGTACGTCTAGGAAAAGTGGCCACAGTAAGTTGGTAACAACGTAGGCCAGCGCGCATGGTCCTCATAAGCAAAGGTAATAGAGTGATAAGGGAGAATAACTCTTCAGAACACTCGCCATGTCAAGGATCCCATTGCAAACTTTGCATTTATGAGTAATATAAATCTTTGGCCTTCAGTTATTTGAAGGCTGGTTTTTTCGCTTAGCAACAAATTATTTCATTACGATATTATCTACAAAAAATATTGTTTACACTGAACGACCTTCTGTGAGCTAGAACCCTAATTCTGATGTCACCATTTCCATAAAATTCCTCTATGTATGTACAATTGAAGTTTAAAATGAACTTTTAGGCAATTTAGCTAAAACTAGATAAAGCCCATACAATAATGTCAAATTGACATTGACGTCTTGAAATTTTTCTATGTAAATTAATATAGAAGTTCAGTTAATATTAATGAATAAGTACATAAATCTAATTATTTTATTAACAACTACTTCCGTTCTTTATAAATTATGAAAAACTAAACGCGAAAATAATATAAAAAATAGGCTGGGGCATTAAAGCAAAAAAGCTTGCATATTATTAATTCGTGTTTACTTTATACTCACAGTAATATAAAAAAAGCAGAAGTAAAGAAAGTATATAATATACGAATAACATCATTTTTTAAATTCCCATACGAAGTCCTGTAAAACAATTATTTATTCTTCATTTTCAATGCAAAACATATCAAAATTTACATTTGATATTATCTCTCAAGTTTTAAAATATAGACTTAATATTTTGATTTGGTCCCTGAAACATTGAACAGAAATGTGCTTGAGAATAAGGGGGGATTTTTTGAAGTGAAAACTTCTTTAGCGGCGTAGTACACTTTTTTTGTAATGGGTAAAAAATGTTAAACTCGCGTCAGGACACGTGACCTGATCGAAAATTCGTAAGACGGATGAAGAGTAGACAGCCACCGCGGCGTAGGAGAGAAAGTATCCCTCTCTGTTTCTGCTTCTTTCTTTATGGTGACAGCTGATGTCTGTGTAGTGGCCACACTGCTGTGTATTCGTAAAATTCGTGTATATAAAGTGTTACTGATAATTAAATCAATTCGTGCAAAATTATTCCCTAACCATTCCAAATATCAAAAATGCACAAAGTTAATATTCAAGTTTTCATTTCTGCCGGCACTCCCGGAGTGCAACCCGTCGTTTTTTTCCAGACCTTATCTAATGCGCTAACCACACGCACAAGCTTCACCACAGTTTGGCCTGCGCAAGCATCTCGCACGAAAAAACTGTACACTTTGTGCGTTACCACACGGCACAGTTAAGTACGCGCAAGCCTCATTCTTATCGAAATCATTGGCGTGGAAACAATGTTTCCTAATGAAGAAACATTTCTTATGCTATTATTTTTCAAGGATTTGCTATTAAAAAAAAAGACAACGCAAAAGTCAAAATTAAAGCGATCAAAATGGACAAAAAAATGGCTGTTGAATAGAAAAATTCATACACATATTAACCTAATTTAGGGTTTTAAGAGATGATCCAAACGATTTTCCTATTTATATACGGATGGATAAAAATGCTTATGTTATTGTTACGTTTGGTTACGCCTCTCATTCAACACTCGTGGTCGATATGCCTATGGTCATAAATAAATTTGTATAAACTAATTAATTCAGACGTGAATTCGCGATTGTACGTACGCAAATCTGCCATTTTTAAGTGACGATGACAAACTACCTCATGAAATGCGAGCGAGCCTCGACACAAAGTACACTCGACTGTGGCTTGAACACTGAACGCCCAACCACACGCACAGACAAGTACGCGCAGGCCGGGCTTGCGCAGGCAAAATTTCAAGCAAGTCGAAAAGTGCGCAGGCCACGCTTTGGGGTTGGCGCGTGATACAGTTTTACCAACTACACGCACCGTGTTCCGTGTACAAACCGGCCTGCGCAGGCAAAACTGTGGTGAAGCTCGTGCGTATGGTAGGCCCATAAGAGGAATTAGATAAGTTCTGGAATTCTTCAATTGTAAGTATTGGGGACGAAGCAGGAACGAAGTTATTGTTGTGAGTTGTATTATAGTAGGTATCTTAACTATGTAAACACTTTAGCAGGATTTACATTTGTATGTAATATTCAGAAGGCAAAGAAACACACAATTCTGAAGCTTTGCTACTAAAAGGCGCTAAACTTTGTGTTCGAAATTTGAATTACTTCCATAGTAATTACGCTCCTTCAGCTGCACATATAAAGGACAATGGGCAAAACACACCCAGCTCCGCTAACAATGTAATTAGTATGAATCGATAGATCTATGAAAAACTAGCATTTTTTATTATGACACCGTAGAAAAATATCCTGGTAGTCAAAAGTTATGACACCGTAAAAAAATATCCTGGTAGTCAAAAGATATGACACGTAGGCATATTTAAGTAGCTAAATAAGTTCCTTTTATAGTAACTTCATTTTATATTTTTAGTAACCATAATAATATGCCATATCGTACTATACAACCAGAAATACGACAAAGACTGCCGACTATCCTACGCTTGCACTTACTAAGCCACCTCAAAATGGTTAACGGTTAATGGTTATTACTTCGTTGTGATTGTGCACTCCCTATCACTTGATTGATTTTTATCTAACACGCTGTGGACATTGGAACACGATTATCGGTTTTGTCAATTAGTATAGATGAACTAGAATCATGTTTTCTCCAAAGCGTGGACAAGTTTGTGCGATTTGTGGTCGTTCATACATAGAACATAATTTACTATAATGAACAGAATGTTTGAAAAATCCCAACCCATGCGGGATTTTTTGGATTTACTCTAGCGCGGCAGAATAACATGAGGGCCCTTGCACCTTGTAAAGTACTCCCTTAATACCTGAGCCGAACGTAGGGTCGAACTAACTAACTAAATTAATTCCCTTATTTCATTAATGTTCGTTCTTTATTGTACTTATACCTATTTAACTTAAAATAACTAAAGACCCCCGGGATGGAATTGGATGCGCTTTGACACAGATGATCATGACTATAATACCTTTCAAACAAATGTAGTTTAAGCTGTAGCGGACGTAGGTGCAGCGTCCATACATTTTTGCCCAATGTCCTTTATCGTCTCCTACAACCTCTTTTACGCGTGTCAAAAATCTCCAGTCAAGCTATCGTCTAGCGTGTATAGAGACGAAGCTCGATAATTGATGACGATAGTACTAAATTTAGTTCAAAGCTTCGTCACGGAGTGTGTGAGAGAAGCATAATGGTAAACAGTCGCTGTGGTTTATGTATGCCAGCGACAATGGAGTATCTATCACACGCGTCTTGCCGACCATTTTAAAACCTAAGCAATAAATTATCACAAAGTAGAATCACTATCTTACGGACAACTCTTTGGAATTCATTCCAATAGAGAACTTCTCTTGGAACGATATCTCTCGCTAGAACGGTTATACTGGCTGGAGACGCATTGCCTTTGGAAAATTTGGGGTCCGTGCATCCAAAGGCAATGTCTTTATTTCTTTTTCATTACAAATAAGAATGTAAATCGATACATTCATTAATTTTGTGTACAAAACAACATATCTGGGGGTTATCAAAATTACAATTACACATTCAGTTGTAAGTATTGAAACTTTAGATATGACATGTTAAGATTCAATATCGATATGTGGATTTCAGAGTATTGGGTAATGGTTTTGGTATGCTTGTGTTATCACGACCTATTTCACAGGTTCAAAAAATATTTTAGGCCAGCCTTGTGACCTCGGTTAAAATAAAGGACTAATAATATAAACATCATTATAAAATATTATAGGCGTTTTATTAGATAAGTTTTAGATAACTTAATTTGCTGGTGTCTGTTTTTTCTAAGGAGGTAGGAGAATGTCTTGGACTTAGGGCGTTTGGTAATGAGACAGTTTCGGTCCGGGTCTAGGCTTCAAGGGCTAGACACGGTTTAAAACCGTGTCTACGTCTGGTCATCGGTTAGGACACTGGAGATTTGTTAAGACATCGGCGCTAACGACGGTTAGAGGTCTGTACAAACGTACAAACCGTGCTCGTGAACAAACTTAGCCGACACCAGCTTGGGAAGAAACCAAGTAGAAATCCTCTCGTTAAAGTTAAAGTGCCCTAATACTGAGCCTCATTCTAACATGATCATCTAAACGGAAAATTGCATTCTACAGCAGTCACTCTTCCTTATTTATAGAATATATTAATGATATGCTACTGTCAATTTAATATTTTGCAGTCCGAAATTCACTCCCCTGTCTCCTAATTGGCTGAATTTAATTCTTATTGCTACTCCTTTCATTTTGTAACCCACAAAATATTTACATACTTCAATTTTTGGCTCACTTTTGGAAATATCTTTCAAATTGAAAGGCATTGTGATAGGATTTGAAATAAGAAAATAAGGGGATTATAAGAAACTACTTTAATTTTACAATTAGTACAATGATTAGTAGTTCCTTTTATGTTTTCGATGATCGTAACTCAAATATTTCTTCCACTTCTTTTGATACCAAGACAATACAACTTATATTGTCCAACATAGATTTACATCTTTGTTGTCCAATAAATATTGACATATTATATTATTACATGTTAAGACATACGTTTGACTCCGTTTAGCCATTTCTTTTCCGCTTCGAAATAATCAGCGAATTCGTTGATGGTGAACGTGGCATCTGGGTGTGCGGCATTTAGTCTGTTTATCTCAGCCAACGTATCAGTGAATGCCACGTATCTATAGAGTAACTCTTCGGTGTCCCTGTATCGTCTGCCGTAATCCCTAATGAATTTGTGAAACAGCAATGGAGCATCCTTTGGGTCGTAGTAGACGTCACCAGCACTGACAAACGTTGCGAAAACCAGCGAGAGAATTGTATAGTAACATAACATCTGCATTACGCCAACTTGATTTGCCAATTATTCGTTTTTTATGAGGTTTCTAAGCTTTTATAGTCTTATATTAGTCTCGAACAATTTGCTAAATGAACATCACTTTAATAATGCCATCACATGTGAGATTTATTGTGTGAAATCGATTTGAAGTACATACTATAGATGCAATAATAATTATTTATAATCGAAACCACGTGGGCGGATAATTGTATCCGCCCGTGGCGTGATTTAACAACTTCAGTTCGTTGCAATTCTTAGAAAGATTATTCATATTAAAACTGTAAACAAACTTCTAGCCTCGATCTATACTGTATATTTCTTATTACTTTTTCATTACGATTTTTAACTAAACCAGCATATTGTATTCAAGTAATCCAATGCTTGAGTGGGTGACTAAAACTTTATTATATTGAGTTGTAGTGCTATTTTTTAAGAACAAACTCACTTTTCGAAGTGAGAGCGGGGTGAAAAGTGATTTAAAAGGCATGTTAAGCTGTTGGTCTCGGTTGCTTCAGCAATCGTCAGCACCCGTCAATTCGCACTGGGCCCTGGTGTTGGTTATGCCCAATCTCCCTGTTTCTAGCCATATTAATTACCTATGCCCCAGCAGTGCGGACATTGAAATGCTAATGATAAAAATAATTCCAATACTGAGATAATGTAAAGGTGAAAAACTTCATGTCATGATTAATGAAAAATCTAGTACCTGCTAACTTTGGAGCAAGGGTCAGATCTAGTAACTACTAACTATCAATCGAAAAAGAAAATGTGCAACACTATTAAATCTGAAATATTGTTGCACGAGAGTTATATACTACCCCGAATTCATTCCGTTTATTTATTTTGAAATACTCTATTTGGAAAAAAATACCTTTCTTTGAGGGTTCCGCACTGAAAGGGTTACAAAGGAACTTTATTAACTGAACTCTGGCTGAACGGAACTGTGACGGGTTAAACCTGTCAACAGGGTTGATTGAACTGTTTGTTAATATGTATACTTTGTTAATATGTATAGAAGACCATTAGCTTAACTAGCAACGAATAAAACTGAAGGGAGCATAATATGACACAAGAAACATAAGGCGCTGGTCCTACCGCCGACGATAAACGCGAAGCGAGAAGAGCTAGAAACTAGAAACGAGTTGACGATCAGCAGAAAGGGAGTGTGTAGAACCGATAGTTTTATCGCTAGGCTATAAGCGAATCTGCGAATAATACGGGCAATTACTCACCGGTAGTTTGAACAGTGAGTATGCAAATGCCTTTAATTATTCAAAAGCAAAAGCAAACTTATGATTTTATTTGTTTACTTTGAATGCTATATCTATTGCACGTTTCTTGAGCCAGAAATAGCCAATGGTCAGTGGCATTCTCGTCGGAGATGGGACAACTGCCTATCTTTCCGTTACCTAGAATTTAACCGTGACCACCATGGACTGTACGTGTGCGTGCGTTAGCACGCACACGTACAGTCCATGGTGGTGCTAGCGCACTTGGCTAGTTTTTACCATTTGGCGATTGTTGTTTGTTTTTCCGCTAATCCATACTAATATTATATATGAATAATAATATACGTATATGTATAATAATAATAAATGTCCCGGGAAAGGTTATATGATAGTTTTTATGCTAAAAATCATCCGCCAATGGGGTGAAACGGAGAGTTTTGTATGGGAAACCAATATTTTACGTAGACAAAGTTACAGGCAACTTACAGCTAGTAGGAGTTGTACATAATTATTATAAATATTACTTGTATCACCTTATTAATCACACTCAAAAAAAACAATTAACAAGTTCGACTCAATTTTATGCTTTCACTTTCTTTGCGATAACGATAGAATGAAACAACACGCGATTTAGTGAAGCACTAAATTAATGTATTATCTCTGAGTACGGCTGTAAACTCTATGTTGTGGATACATGTGAATCATTATAATAACATATTATCTTGGCATGTACATCGTGGTGATAACAATTTTTTGCTAGTTGAGAGTGTTATTATTACACAAACATATTTGTCTTACTAAGTTTTTTTATTTGCAGATAGCTATTAATACTGTTTGCTATTTTGCTATGGGAATTTCCACTATGACATCTTTCCTATTATTTGGAAAATTTACTGCTGTAATGACCTGCAATACTGTGATGTTAAATTCCCCTCCACAGCCCTCTTCTAGCTCACTCAGAGCACCGGGGGAACAATAAAAGAAAACCAAAAAAATTAAGTTATAAGTATATTTTATCCACTTTAGATACCAAAGCATAGGAATTCAGTAGTTTTAAGTTATTGCTTATATAAATCAACAAGTCTAACTATGTTTATTATTTATATAATAACTATGTTTCACTAATTATAAATATCTAAGCTGAATACAGTAGTTCAAAGTTAATGTGTATATAAACCAACAAGTTGTCATGAAAGGTTATAATCATATGAATATCAGACATTCATAACACTTTACCATGTACTTACAATATAATACTTACTAATATATTTTATCCACAAATACCACATAGACTAGACTGAATAAGCTATTTAGTGGATTTCAGAGGTTCTACGGCTCGTTTGATCGATATTGGTGACCAACTTAGTTAATTCTAGTTCTCAGTGAGATAACCAGTTATATAGATATATGTATATATATGGAAATGGGTAAGTCGGGGGCCAACCTCGCCTGGTGGTTCCTCTCCACTTTCACCCGGGGTTAGTAGAGAAATACCTTGATTATGATAGGTTTAGCTGTGTATAATCTGTCTGCTGTTACGGCCGGGTTACATAAAACCGGAGAGCGGCTGGCAAATAAACTCCCGCGTCCCTTCTGGTCCGTGTACAGAAAAAAGTCTCCTTGTTAGTCCTCCAGTATTTCTTGAGGGGAACGTACAAGCCGTTCGAAATATGAAACTATCCGTAAGTATTTTGTTTCCTATCACAAGTTACCGCCTTATTATTGCAATCGCCTTGCGAAGGTTCGTGTTCGTCCACCTACGAAACTCAGTTCGGTTAGCGACTCCGCGCTTTTTCCGCCAATATCCTTCGGGATATAAACTCTTCGGATCTATCTCACGACTCCGACGACAATAATATGCCTTTTATTATACTTTGGGCAGAAGAAAAGATGAAAAGTTAACCGTGCCACAAACAGATTGTGAAATTTTAAAAGTTGTTTTGACAATTGCTCATAGATGATAGACGGGTCGTCCACTCCCAAACATGTGTCTATGATTTGTTTCCCACTTCAACTGAAGGCAAAGGCCACAGTCAAACAGACAGCCGCCGCATTCGAGACGAACCGAAGAATAAACTCAAAACTATATACCTACGCTCGCCGTAAGCTGAGGAAAAGGGAATACCTACCCAAATCAGCGAGGAAATTCAATTTCGAGTAAAATTCAAAATTGATTAAAAACAGCACCCGATAAGGAGGACTCAAATCGATCTGGGAAAAACTATTCAAAATTCAACAACTGTCAAACTCCATCCATTCATCCACGCGCCCCCACAGAGATTCACTGCCTGATTACTCTTTTTTTTTTTTTTTTTTTTATAAGTCTCAAGGCGAATATTTTAGTCGAATAGGAAAATCGACTCTTCCCTCAAGGCTACCAACCCAATCAATGAAGTTTGACAGCTGCGCTGACGTAAGCGGTTCGCTATCATAGACAAAACAGCTGTCCTACGTGTGTCAGTGTCACGCTCTGTTTAAAAACAAACACTACAATACATGAAATTACTATTCTGATTGTTAATGTGAACAAACAGTGTGTCGTTATTGTGCAATTTTGTGAGTTCTATGGCCAAAAGGTAAACACGCGACCCTATTACTAAGACTCTGCTCTCCGTCTGTCTGTCTGTAAACAGGCTGTATGTCATGTACCGTGATAGGTAGACAGTAGAAAATTTAACAGATTATGTTTTTCTGTTGCCCCTATAACAACAAATACTTACTTAAAATAGAATTATGAATATTTATAGGAGGATCCCGTACAACAAACGTGTTCTATTTGCTCTTTATTCATAGCGGCAACAGGTAGATGCTTGAAATATACACAGAGTATTTAGTTGTTTAATCGTATTTAATATAAATAATTTAAATAAATAAATATACACATATGGAACAGCTGTTGTGCATTTTTTTCCTGTTTTGATGCACAGCGTCAAGGTAACCGAGTAAATAAAAAAATGTAGCATTGCCTTCATCTGATTAAACTGTGAACGTACCAGATGTTCAATAAATTACTAAGCAGGTACCCGCAGTAGGCACAGCACCGATATTATAGACGTGACCATATTATGGAAATAAAAAAACGATTTCAAAATTAAAAATGAAACTAAAAAGTAAAAAAAAAAATCTTCCAAATCATGAAGCAGATTATGTTCGATTTTTAAGTCGGCTTTATTTTTTGTTTATAAAATTTTATTACATCCATGAAAATTACATCATCCGGCAATGAACAAAAATGTTAATAAATAAAAACAACTGGGTCAAACTAAATAATTTTGTATGGGACTAAACGGCAAGTATTTCAAATCAGATAAGAAATCTTTTAGTAATTGGTGTACATATGAACATGTAACAATTATGCTTATAAAATTAAAACTGCTGAAACAAATTGTTAAAAAAAAGTGTTTTAGCTTTGAAATAGCGGTTTTCAAAAGCGGGTAAACTTTTTTATTCAGAGCCGGCAACGCATAAGTGGTAGATACCCAATAGGGACCCCTTGTGCTGCAAGTGTCCAAGGGCGGCAGCGTGACCACTTAGGACTGGACTGCCAGCTCTTTTGTATGCATAAACTTTAACAAAACATGAGTATCCTTAAGACGAGAGAATCCAAATATTACTTGCTCCATCTTAGTTCCCATTATCGCCTAAAATTTGAGACTAACAGACTAACAGTTACCTACCAGAAAAAAAATACATACCCGATTATACAGATTGTTACCAAAGACTAAAACTACGCATTCTGTACACCCAAACAAGTAACATTACAAAATATTGTACGTGGGAGTATTTTTAAGTTAAAAAAACACATTACAAAAATACGTAATATAGCGCGGCGCGCTACTGTGGCGTTACGCAAAGATTATGCCTGTGTGTATGTGTGTGCGTGCGTGTAAGTGCCTCGATAAAAAAGTTTCTAAATAACGTTTTGAAAATATTAATGTATAAATCTTAAAAATAAATGTAACTTAAACCTTCAATATCTCCATAATCATAAATTTCCCAGTTATGGTCCAGAAAAAAAATGATCGACATGATG